CTCCCCTCTTTTACATCTCTGTTTTTGACGGCGGAGCAGCCCCTCCCAACCACGCTGCACCGACTCATCCTCCTCCACACCGCCGGGGGTGAGGCCCACCCGGCGAGGCTCCTGATCCAACGAGGGCTACTAGCTAGCCAACGGCATTTGGTCATTGACATCTTAAGAGCCCTCTGTTTCCGGATAAATTATGCGTTTTAACTATAATTCAGAATTTTATTATTTTGAAAACTTTAAAAGTATTTGTTATAAAGGCGAACGCGTCGTCAGTTAGTCAGAACCTAACCGCAGGATGGGTACTCGGGGTTCGGATCTCGAGTCATTGTGGTTGCCATACTTCCTAACGCTTGGACTATGGTTCCGTGTGCAACCTAAGCTTATTAGGAATCGTTTCTACCAGATAATAATGACCAAGAAAAGCGGTGAACAATTACGTCCCATGATCATCATGGAATGTTGATTTTAGTCCCCTGTATTCTTGTTTAAGTTAGTAGAATATTCCATATCCGGGTTCTGCGATTTTGTACGTTTGTGTTCGTGTTGTTTTGTGTACAGTCTTTTTCTCGTGCATTGACTTTTATGTAGTTTTTAGTTCACTTGAGTACCGCGGTGCACTGTTGACTTGACCTCGGTCATTTTTCCTGTGGTATCCATCCATCTGTGCGCACTAGGTTATTTGCTATATTAGGGTGAATACGATGCCCCATAAAATTAGTTTTCCATTTTGAGTAGCATCGCCCAGGTCTCTAAATAGGCGTGCATATTCTCATGTGTGGGTAGCTCACCCCAAGGATCCGATAATTCTCGATACGTAGCCGACTTACCCTGTGCTAACAGGTATTCAGGGAAATCGACCTTTTTAGTTTTTATCCGATCCGACCGCAGGACCTCATGTCGACGTTAGGTTTGCGGTCTCACACCAGTGTGTATGGCTCTATTGCATCCCTTAAAAGTTGTTGAAGTGTCAGAGTGATGAGTTGATTTCCATGGAGCGCAGTTTATCTGCATCGATCCACGTTTAGCGCTTTTTGCCTATGCTTTTCCGAGTGTTCAGTCGGCGCTGAGGACAGATCTTAGAAATATATGCTTCTCAGTTAACGATTTCGACTTTCTTGCCAGTACATATAGACCAAAACTAGCTATGCGAAGGTCATATCGGATATAGTTCTTCAAACAATTTGTGCCATCTAGATCGCCGAATTTATAACTTCTGATCTATCCTTTTAGACAACTAATTAAAGCCATTATTGCGCCATTCATACTAATGGACGCCTATTATGGCGTGTAGATGTTGCCACTAACTGACAATCTAATGTGATTTTTTGTCATCGAATTGGAAATTCTCATACACCTAGGACCTATCAATAACTTTTTACTCAACAGATTTCAGTATTAATCTCGCTCAGCTAGGTTCAATAGGTTTCCTATTGCTTACTTCGTGATAAATGCTCAAAAATTCACAAATATTTTGCTTCGTTCCAAATGACTAAACTGCAGATATCTTTAGGTTCACACTAACAATGACAGAGGATCAGGCAATGAGTGATGTCAATCCTGAAGAGCAATGCAGGTATATATTCCTTATCATTAGACTCTTCGCGCATTCATTTAGTTTTTATTTCACATAAAAGGGGTTGTACAGGTCCTAGAATGGTTTTTTTTCTCAATAAATTTGTATTTCAGATTGCTCAGCGAAGAAAACAAGAAACTGTCAATTGATATCGCGAGCCTGCAGCTAAGCAACAGAAGTCTCGTCAATCAAAACAGAGATGAAAAGAAAAAAGTCATGGATTGTCGGTTACAAATCAGCGATTTAGAAAGTCGTCTTAAAACTCTAGAAAGCACGAAAACTGAATTAGCTGATTGCCAAACACAAGCTGAGCGTCTGCGTGCAAGCTTGGATGCCACAGAATCTAAGCTAGCATCAACAGAGAGGCGTGCTACAGAGGCAGAAAGTCTCATAAGAGTAAGTGCTCTCGTCCTTATTTAATCCTTGTAGGTCAAAGACAGTATTATCGAAAAGCAACGGAATTTTTCAAAAGAGCTCGAAGATCAAGTGAAGAATTTGACCGAAGAGACCGAGGCACTCAAGTCCAAATGTGGTAATTTAGAGATGAATCTAAAAGAAGCGCTGGATAGGGCTGAGGAATGCGATAACCTTCGAGAGCTTCTAACAGCTAAGTCCAAACTGCTGGATGAACTGTCAGAGAGGTAAGACTATCACCTTTCGTGATGCCCTTCTAGTTCGGATGGTATCGGGGAAAGCGGCCTTGCCGCTGCTAACGAATTTTTTAAAGCACAGGAGGCGAAAATGACTGAACAAATTAATGAATTGAAACACGCCAGGTCTGAGTTGGAAAATAGTCTCGCGTCCCTTGCCTCGGAAAAGGAACTCCTCGAGCAAAAGGTCAGCATAATTTTTTCTCGTCCTCAAAAACTCAGCGAAACAAGTCAGCATAGTCATTTGAAAAATCCACAAGAATCCTTTTATAAAGCCTTTGTAGATCGGC